AACGTCCTGGGAACTGCAGTTCCCAAAAAAAGACAGTGTTCGATTAAAATTCGCTAAGCTACTACCTATATTCATATCTTTTCCTATTATCAATTTAACCAACAACATTTATTTAGCTGTAATTATATAAATACATAGATTGCCGGAAATTTAAAAAATCCAGGCTATGAGTAAGGCAATTGTACAGCTCGATAAAAACGTTTAAATGGCGGCGAAACGTGGAACTACATATTTTCTACCCAAGAAATCTGTCAATGCCACTTTTTCTGTCAAACTCGGCTATGTGTGGCTTGTCACTGCTCAGGGTTTACAGAAAGTCACTAACAACGCCCCCATGTACTCTTGTGTCGGGTTATATTTTCCTAAAATAGAAAAAATATTGTATAGTGTAAGCGAATATATCGGCCTTTAGGGGACCCCCATGACGTGGGGGCTCTGGGCACAGGCCCCGTGTGCCCTTATGGTAAAGACGGTACTGAATGGAGGTCATGGTTGAATAGGGCCAAAAATTTCTCATTACACACCTAGGGGATCAAAATGGCCAAAAACCAAAAAATTTAAAATTATATATATATAAGTATATACTGTTATAACTCCGCCTCCTTCGGAGGTTCTTACACAGTCTTTATTTTCCACATTCCACTAGTTATATAGGTATAGATATGGATTAATTACTGGCTCTGTGGAATCGAGTAACTAGTATCTCGAGTCGAATAACTGAAAACAGAGATAATCTGCACAAATAAGGATAATAAATACATTTTATTTTTCATTCATTTTCAAATAATATACATAGGCTTTAAAATACTGACATACAATTATCATACATGGTATATTAGCACTTTAAATTCAAATTAACGATTTCTTTGGTGCTGGCGGGCATTGAATCCGGATTGCTCGCCTACTGTGAAATTTACGCCGAGTGCTTAGCCCCTGAGCTACCACGGTTATTCTATTAATATAGTACAAAACATAATAGAATAGAATAGAATAGAATAATTTTTATTCAATATACATTACATGTGTAATTCTTATTGAAAGTCATTTTTTACTTTACCACTGGTTCGAAAAAAAAACCCTCTGTCCTGGGAAGAACCAGCAAGAAACCCAGCGGGACTTTTTTTTAAAGAAATTTTACAATACAAATGATTACGAACTATTTACAAAATTTATTTTAGAAACTGTTTGGAAGCGACCACCTCATTCCCAGGGGTTATTATCAACCATGTATTCATTTATACTATAATAACCCTTTTTATATAGTTTCAGCTTAATAAAGCATTTAAACTTGGTAATAGAGAGAACCTGTACACTTTCCGGGACCTTGTTGTAATAGCTTATATATTGCCCCAAGAATGAATTACTGACTCTGTGGAGTCGAGAAACTGGTATCACTAGCTTGTGTTTGTTCCTAGTGTTTACAGAATATATATCACTTTTTTTTAACTAAAACTATCTTTGTTTTTGTGAACATACATTAAATTTTCGTAAATATACTGAAGGCCAAAGTTAGTATATTTATTTCTTTAAATTTATCTCTAAGAGACTCTCTCGGTTTTAGATTGTAAATAGCTCTAATGTCCCTCTTCTGTAAAACAAAAATAGTTTCTGAATCAGCCGCATTTCCCCATAGCAAAATCCCATAAGACATTATGCTATGGAAATAACTAAAATAAACTATTCTAGCTGTCTCGACACTAGTGAGACCTCTAATCTTTTTAACAGCATAGACTGCAGAACTTAGTCTGCTTGCTAATTTGGGTATATGGGGGCCCCACTGGAGCTTTGCGTCAAGAGTGATGCCAAGGAAAACAGTGGATACAACAGGGCTCAATTCCTCCCCATTTGAAAACACATTGGTATTCAGATTTTTAACATTCGTTGTTGTAAATTTAACACAATTAGTTTTATTTCCGTTCAAATGTAGATTATTAACGTTAAACCAATGCACTAATTTTGATATAGCATTATTCACTTCGTCACATTTAAATGATTGACGTTAAATTTAAAAATCAAGGAAGTATCATCAGAAAATAATACTATATCATGACTATCCCCTACAAGGTGAGGTAAGTCATTAATATACACCAGAAACAGGAATGGGCCGAGAATCGAGCCCTGAGGAACACCCATTAGTACAGGTGACCCGGAAGAACTTTTACCATTGATAATAACCTTCTGCTTTCTATTACTTAAATATGAAATAATAAGTTTAAGCGCTGTGTTCTTGACACCATAGTACTGTAACTTCCTGATTAATGTTTCATGGTGAACACAGTCGAAGGCCTTGGAAAGGTCACAAAATATACCCAAAGCATCCTCTGCATGCTTTGGGTATATTTTGACAAGCATGGGAGACCATGCACAAAAAATATGTTTAATAAGCTCAACTCCAGCGTCAGTTGTCGAGCGATCCCTTGTAAAACCGAATTGATTTTTATGTAGCAATTTATTAATATTAAAGAAACTTAACATCTGATTTAAATAATTTTTCCAAAAATTTTACTTAATGTTGGTAGTACTGCAATTGGTCTAAAATTGGCGGGGTCTAATGTACTATCAGATTTAATAGTAAATAAAAGTTGCGACTAGCAAAATAACATGGATTTTCTATATTTATGTCTGCACAGTCGTGGACTTTCTTATTTTACCGTTACAGCCTATCAAAAGTCCACTGCTAAACATAGGTCTCCCCTAAAGATGTCCAAAGGGAGATATTTGCCATAGTTATCACGCCTGGCAGGCGAATATTCTTACAAAGCCACTACACTATAATTTTTTATTTTACGATGAGTATAAGTTTTGTTTCTTTTCTATATTCCCAGAATAGTGTATAATTCAGATAGAGGAAAGGACAAAAGGGACTAGGGATTAGTCGTGAACTTATACAAAGAACAACTTAAAAATAATGGTACCAAACTGCATCAATATCCATTGCCTAATGAAAACAATTGTTGCTTACTTTAAAATCATTCGTGTATTTCTTCTTTAGCAGGAAGGCTTCGATATTTTAAAAAATACAAATCGGATTTTTTTCTGTTAATTAATTTATTTTCCTTCGTTTGACGCACACAAAAGCTTTAAAGCGCTAACATCCTTAATCAAACCAAACAAAACCAACGCCCATGCTAATAAATGTAGAATTACTTGCACACTTAGTGGAATAAAAATAATAAAGTCATTATTTAAAATAATTATAATAGCTACTGCAATCCATAAACACTTTTTTGTATGGAGAAATGCTTACGCATAACCGCCTCGCAGAGCCAAGGACGGGTTATGTCGGACTCCCACCGATTAAAACCCCATGTGTTCCACCATCGCCACATATTAGCGGGAATGCTTTCGCACGTATTCGCCACTTCACCGTCGCCGGCTGCCCTACGGCATCCCCTCATTGGAAGAGGACTTCTACTTCTCAGGTAAGGCGCACCAGAACACTACGCACGTTTTCCTCTACGGCCACTAACTCCACCTGCGTAGTGGGTACCAGCTCGGTACCACCAGCTCGGTACGCGGAAGCTATGTAGCCAGAAAATTCGAGTAAAGTCCGCTAATACGGACTGGAAAGAAGACCTGATGTGTCTATCATTGGAACTTATAAAATAGGAACTTTTTTAAATATGACATATGAAACCTCCCAGAAAAATAGGTGGAGGGTTATTTCTCAGGGGCCTGTCACAAGTTTAATATATACAAGTTTTATACGTGGTAGAGCTATGCTGCAGCATAATATATTATGGTTGTAGCACGAATGGGTCGGCTCGACCGGGAAGGATGCCACGCTCTCATAGAATATCATCGTAAAATAGCTTGTTAACGCTGCTGTGTTTCGTATGGTGAGTGTAGAGAACCGGAGACCCTTTTTTACTGGAAAGGAGGCATTCCATCTTAGTCCTCACGGGTGACAATGCATCTGCATTTTGATTTGTAATCGAAGATAGATGTAGATGTCTATGAGCCACAGCAACCACTTACCATCAGGTGGACTGTGTGCTCGTTTGTCACCCTTATCCTATAAAAAAAGGATTTAGGTCGTTACTTTACGTTATAAATTATGTACGTGGAATGGTAGAAGTCTGTTTAGGACATTATTATTTAAGTTGCAGCACAATAAAACTATTTATGAATAAAGATTAAAATTTTAATTGAGAGAGACACTGACTTGTACATTTTATAAGAAGGAAGAGAAAAATTATGGCCAGTGCAATAAATGCAGTTTAAAAAATTAATTTATATCATAGATAAGTCTAAGTAATACTTATTTCCGATATACGCGACGATGACTTACTTCTTCAAGAGGTCCAACCTTGCGTCTTTCCATGCCGTGAGGAGCTTGGCGGCTCTAGGTGACAGGATTAAGCAGCTATTTACCTAATGGTTAGTCGGAAAAGAATACCTTTAAGCGTGCAGTCGTATTTTGTGTAAATTCCCGTTGGGTTCCTTGCTCATTCTTTCCAAAACAGAAGTTTTTTAGAACCAGTGGCAAAGCTTCAACGATATATTCATTAAGTAGTCTTGAAATTTATAGTAAATAAAATTATTTTGTTATATTGTATGTATTTCATTGACTGACTACTGTTCATGTGTTCTCGTGTTAGTATTCACTCGCCCTTAGCCACCTCTTTGCCACCACTAAATCTAATACCATCCTAACCACCACCACAAACACACAATATACTAATAATACGACACGTGTTTCGTCTCTAAACAAAGCATTATCAGGAGAAACAGACTGTGATAACTAAGCAGATGCGTTTTCATTCTACAGGATTGATGGGATCATACCAAACACCATACCAATTCTCTCGACACTCCCACAATAGGTGTACCGCTAGAAAAAGAATGTACAAATGTAAAAATATTATGACAAAATATATTTTACTCGCTAAAATGACTGTACTATTTTTTTGCAACTAAGTGTAATACATAACTCATAGCCGTAGGTAAATTAATTAGTCATTATTATTTTACTGTGAAGCTATTGAGAAGACGTAAACATGAAACCTAAAATCGCTCTAGCGTGGCCTTTTATTTTGTATATTTGCTATGCGGTGAAAACTGACCCTACAAATAAAAGTTTAAAAAGCATTGTAATAAAAAATAATGAAGATTTTAAATCGATTTGCAATGAACATAAGTGCCTACCAAAATGTTGCAACGAGACCGATTACATTGGGGAGAAGAAAAAATGCGTTCCGTACAAAGGCAATCTTGATTTTTCAAATGTTACCATTTATACAGATGATATTTATGAAACAGGAAAGTCTTTGCGAGATTTGTTTTATCTCGTACCTGGAAAATTTAGTAACAAAACGTTTAAAGAGGTCGCTTTTGATATGACGAGGTGGGGACTAAATAATTACTTAACTGAGGTAAGTAAAATAAAAAGTATTATTTAATTAATTAAAGCTTGCATCCAAAACGTAAATTATACAAAAAAAAAAATAAGAAAATTTGCGTATGTTATACCAATTTTCTCGATATATATAAATAACAAAATTATTTATTTACAAATTTATCGAAACCTATATATTTAAAAATATAAAAACATCTAAAAATTCGAAATGGTCAAATGACGCTCATAATAATTAAAGTAAGTAGTAATATTACTAAGAACAGCTTAATGTTGTGTTATTGTACCTAAGGCACTGGCCTGTCTTTATCTGTGTCCAAATGAGCTTTGTAGTGTTTCTAATAATTTACCGTCTAGAAAATATGACCAATCCTTCCTTCTACGGGAAAGGCGCACGTCCAGCTGTGGACTATTATGGGCTGTTTTAAAAGAAAGCCTTATGTTATTAAGGATATGACCCTAAGGAATTCCTTAATATGATTGGAACCCGCAGTGTTGCAGCCAAACACTTACCCAATATCTATTGCGTTACAGAGCCTTTCTCTCTTAAATAACTAGATATTGACTTTTCCAAAATAACTATGACATCAGTTTTGGGGATTGTGTTTAAATTGCAAAGAGCAAGCCCGGTCGTGAATGGAGTACCGCTGTCACATGTCGGCTAATGCTGCAACATACCATCTCACAGCGTTGGACCCAGTGGAAATCTCATAAAGCATCTTTAAATAAGTATTAAGATGCAGATGCGTTGTTAGCCCTGAGTTCCAAGATGAAATGGCCCGTTTTCAGTAAAAAAGGTCTCCCTAATTATATTAAAATTTTATCACATAAACAAAACAACGCCTAAATTATAGGAATTATAGTTGGTTATAAATAACGGGGAGAAAGATTTCACTGGCTCAGCTTAATACTGGAATTGAAAGACATGGGCGTAGCAAGGGGCACGGGGAGTCTTGACCCTTCCCAAAAAATCTAGTGTTTCCGAGAAACCCTGGTGGTCTTGATGTAAAATTCTCTCTCTTAATCGGGTATATGTGCGCTCTTTCACTGCCGGTCATATGAGGAATCTGAAAGTCACTTAGCGCAAAATCCTAAAGGAATTCTATGCTCAGAGTTCCTCTGCGTGATATATTACGTATGAAGATATCCGCGGTGAAACCAGATTAAACAACATAGCCAAACAGATTAATAAGCTAAAATGGCAATGATCCGATATTATAACTCGAAGAACCGACAATTGATGGATAATAAAGATTCTCGAGTGCAGTGGTGGCGTGGCGTGGGTTGGCACCCAGGGCGGTTTTCTATCAAGCACCCCCCAAATAAAATAAAAAATGCGAAACATGCTTGCCGGACTTTATTATCATTACAGCCCTTCAAAAATGAACTGCTGAACAAAGGCCTCCCCCCCCCCCCCCAAAGAATACCACAAAGCACAGTCCTGAGCCAACTGCATCCATGGCCTTCCTGCATGTCTTACCACGTCGTAATTACTCCATCTTGAGGGGACCCGCCCCATTCTTCGCCTACAGGCAAGAGACTACCACTCGAGAACCTTGCTTTCCAATCGGTTGACGGTTCTTGGAGCTATATGGCGGTTGCCGGAGCTATATGTCCGGCGCATTGCCACTTCAGCTTACTAAACCTTTGGGCTATGACGGTTACTCTGGTTCCACTGCGTATATCCTCATTCCTAAATTTATCACGCAGAGAAACTTCGAGAATAGCCCTTTCCATAGCTCGCTGAGTGACTTTGTACTTCCCCATACGGCCAGCAGTGAAGGACAACGCCTCAGATCGACGTTGAACTTACCTGAATATTTGTCCCAGTTGCTCCCAACAACTACTGGCATAGATGTGACATGAACGTTATACATGATCTTTGTTTTATCCATGTTCAACTTCAACTTATCTTTATCTTAAGATCTATCTGTTGGAAGACACTATTGAGGTCACTGAGCATAGTGCTTTGGTCCTACAACGATTCTGCCATAAGGACTATATTGTTGGCAAATCGAAGGTGAGTGATGTACTCGCCGTTGATGTTAATATCATATCCTTTCCAGTCTAGTAGCTTGAAAAGGTCTTCCAATGCAGCGGTGAAGTTTCGGGGTTATAACGTAACCCTGTCTTACACCTCTCTGCAGTTGGATAGGTTTCGTACTCTGGTTCTGTACTCGAATAGCCATCGTAGCCCTGCTGTACAAACACATTAGCACTTCGATATACCGACAATAAACTTGGCACCGCTGAAGAGACTGCAGCACCGCCCAAATTTCGACGGGATCAAAGGCTTTGTCATAGTCCACATACGTAAGACAAAGTGGCAGATTATACAATTTGGCGACGGGTATGTGGTACATGGTGCTAAAGCCTTTTCGGAAACCGGCTTGTTCGGGAGGCTTGACATCGCCGAGTCTGCGTGCGAGCCGATTCGTAAAAACTCTCGAAAACAGCAAGTAGACGCGGCTCAGAAGGAAAATCAGTCTGAGCGTTCTCTTGTCGCTGTTTTTGAAGAACAAGACCACTTCACTTCTGCTTCACGCGTCCGGAGGAAGGCCATCTTGGAGGATGGAATTAAGGAACTTTTGAATGACTTCAAGTAGCGGTTTTTTACCCGCTTTCAGAAGCTCCGATGTAATTCCATCGTCTTTAGGGGACTTGCCGTTTTTAAAGTGCTGGAGGGCCATTATAATTTCGCTCAGACTTACGTCCGATATGTTGTCGGAATAGTGTCGGATAAGACTTGATCTTAGATCGTTGTTCACACTTGCGTGTGTCTCCAAAGATGACGTGTACAACTGCCCATAGAACCTTTCAATCTCACTCAAAATCTCAGGTGTCACAGAAACGATGATGCCAAATTCGGTCTTCAGTTTCGACTGTTGGCTCTCTCTGGCAGGTAATAGATCTGTGGCAAACTTTGGAGCCCTGGTTCCATCCAATCGCTTCTTCAATATGAGCTGTATTGAAGTGAGTAAGTCTCGCCGCATGCATTTGCAAATGTGTCTATTCAGTTGCCTGTATACTGTCAAATCTGCTGAAGTCTACAGCTTCATTTCCCGTCTAACAGCCATGAGATTAAGAGTGTAATCGGAGAGTTTTTGTGTTCTTCTGCGAAGAGTCGTGTAAAGCTCCGACCGCATGTACAGTTTGCACGAGCATGTCATTCATGTCGTCCACTGTATTGAAGTATTCTAAACACTGAAAACCATATTGTAACTCATGCTGAAGGTTATCGGGGATTTGGATTAGAGCACGAGAGACACGGAGCGTTGGCTTCATTAGACGTGACCTCTCCAGCTTACAGTGAATAAAATGAATATAATTGTGAAATATTCAGTGAACTAAAAAAGATTGAATTGCTTATGATAAAATTTACAGCATACCAGCTTAAAATAGCTGCCTGCTATGTTTCGTGTGGTGCTTGTAAAGAGCCGGAGACCCTTTTTTTGGTAACGAGGCAGTCCTCAACCCTGATAATTAAGATGAAATTTGCGCATCTGTATGATCGATGATAGGTGCAGGTGGACAATATCCTTGTCTGTCAATCCGTACTTTATTAAATAAAAATTCAACTACTATGAAATTGCACCCAAACTGCCTTACAATCCAATCGTAGTTATTTTGCAATAACCGGCAAATTTGCTGAGATAGTTCAGAATAAGTTAAATAGGCGTATGGTTAAGAAAAATCATTTAAAAAAAACATCAACAATTCTGTCCTTCTTTACTTTTAAATTCAAAATGCGTGGTAATGTATTATTTTAACTTATTTTACTGCGTACGCACACACTTTCGTAAGGGTCGATCGGTTGGCAGAAACGTTGTTGCCCATAAATCATATTCAATTTGGGATAATTTCAAATAAAAGTAGAAGTTTTATTTACTCGTATTTTTATAAAAATGCATTAACGGTATACTTAAGTTTAAAGTTTGGCTGCTCTTTGAAAAATCGCGACAAAATAAATGTCGCGATAACACATGTCATGTATTTGGTCCATCATCACCATCAGCTTTTAGAGGACACTGTTGGACATGGGCATATCAAACGCGTTATATGGTGAAAAGTAAACCTTTTTTTCCAAATAAGAAACTCAATCCTGGTAACTAATAGTTAAGGCTTGGACGACTTACAGTTGGTGGGTAAATTCTTGAAACGGTTACTCAATTGCCAGATTGTCGTCATATTAATAAGTACCTAGTTCTGTTCATTTTCCTTAAAAATAATATTGTTTCCGTTTCTTATCACACGATTGTTGTCCGCATTAATTAATGTTTAGTTTACTCGGCGTTTGATGGTTAGGGCTATTTATATATAATTTTCCTTGTTTCGCACGATGTCCATTTGTTCTGTATGTAGAAACGTTATTAAAAGTTTTGAACCAAGGGTAGTTTAAATTTTTATCTCGTGACAAATTCATTTTTATTAATTATAACATTTGATTAGGCTGATCAGTCAGAGTGAACTCGATCAGTGAAGTAAACGTCTATTGGCGGTGTAAGAATATCTATATCGTTCCTTGGGTATCATAAGAGGCAACAGCAGGAAACTTAAATAGAAGATGATCAACAACATCGCTTTAATAACAATTTAAATTAATAAAAACCGGCGGTTGCCAACCCGCCTGCCAAGCGTGACAACATGGTCAAATTACCCTATTAGGAAATATCTCTATATTCCTCCCCTCTGGGAGGCCTATGTTCAACTCTGTCTTTAGACTTGTAGGCTGTAATGAATAATGAATGGATTATTCGCATTTAGTCGTGAACTACCTAATATTGTGTTTTTGTGTTTTTTATGTTTGTATGTTAGGGTCAAATCTTGCAACTGAATTTTAAAGCAGTTATCGTCAACCGATTGAGCTGAAATTTTGCATACATGTTTAGTTTGGATGACAATGCATGGTTAGCTAAGTGACGTCATTCCAAATCCAATATGGCGGAACGCGCAAGATGGCGGATTAGTTATTTTCTATGCACTGCCATGATATGGGCAGCTATCAATTTAGAGGGTTTGCTGAGAAGAATACGAAAATAGTTTTTACAGCTTTTAAATAAAAGCTTGTTTTTAAAAATGATTTTTTCCTATCAATTTATAATTACTGCTTTTGTAAACATAATATGTTCACGATAAACATCAATTTTACAACAATGGGTCATTAACAGTCATTAATTGGAAAGAGTTCAGACACAACATATAAAAGGAATAATTCCTTATATGAATTTACACTGTAGCCATATTTGTGTAGTCTTTATTATTTGAAGCTTAATATAGATGGGCTGTACTAATTTAAAATTTGGTGAGCATCAGGCTTATTAGTCACTTTATTGTTATCTAAGTAAAAAAATACAAAACGCATTTTTTTTTCTATTATTTTCTTTATTACTCAAAAAATTTCATCATTATTTCATCATTACAGCTGTTCACAAGACCACTGCTAAACATATCCCAAGGAATGCCACAAAGCACGATCCTGGGCGTCGTCACTCCATCTAGTGGGGGTCTGGCCTATACTTTCTTTACCGGTACGAGATTGCCACTCGATAACCCTCTTTCCCAACAATTGTCGGTTCTTGGAGCTACATGGCCGGCCCATTACCACTTTAGCTTACTGCACTGATGGGCCATGTCGCTGCGGTTATACTGTGGATACTTAAATTTTTAAGTCTATTATGCTGAGAAACTCCGAGCATAGCCCTCTCCATAGCATGGTGCGCGACCTTGAGCTTGATTATACGGCCAGGAGTAAAGGACCACGTCACCAATGTTAAATGAAAACGTATTTCCGATCTTCTGTACCTTTAGCTGAGACACGAAATTACGAACTATTGTTTGAGCATACCGATCCAGTTTTGATAATTCACAGGATGGAATTGTATATTTGGAAACACCGAACGCATTTCGAAGGTGGACTCCTTTAGACACACACCACTTTTGTGTAGAACATCAGCGACCATTAACCGGAAAGGGTACACCTGAGGCTAAGTTCTTCGTGGTACTCGACGACGAATATGTGCCGGAAAGCAATGGGTTCTTTACAGCCGGTAAGAATGTGATTTTATAACTCAAATTCAAAATTGAAAAACACCCCGAAAAAAACAACTAATGACCTTGAAACGGCTGAACCAATTTTGAAAAAACATATCACCCCTAGAAAACCTGCTTTTAAATTAAAAAAACCGCACCCAAATTGGTTCATCTGTCTAAGAGCTACGGTGACACAGACAGCACACAGCTGACCGCTTATAACACCGCTCTTTTTGCGTCTGTGGTTAAGAAACAAGTCAAATAATCTTATTTATTTTGACTTACGTGCTTGTTGTTGCAAAGCATTTAATGGCGGTGTAAGAATATCCACCACCCAATATCATCCCGTGGGTGTTGTTAGAGGCGACTGGGGGAAACTGAAACAGGCAATGGCCAGCAGCATCTTCCTGATAACGACTCAATATTATAAAATCTGCGGTTGCCGACCCGCTTGCCAAGCATGACAACTATAGCAAAAACCTCCTTAAGAGTAAATCTTTGGGGAAGGCCTATATTCTGCAGGAGTCTTATATAGACTGTTATGGATGATTTGTAGTTGTAATCATTATCGCCGTCACCTTTTTACCCGTACCATGCTGGGTGCAGGAACATTGGTTAAATTGACGTTTCGAGAATTTAATATATTTTACTTACCATATTAAATAGCCCCGTGCTTTATACATACACAAGACATCATCATAATTATAACAGCCTACAAAAAGTCCAATGTTAAAATGAGGGTGGCCCCAGAGACTGCCAAGCAATGGCTTGGCAGGCGATTTGGCAACGGTAGTTCTTTATTGCTTTTAGTTGTTATCAGGAAGGTGCTGCACATCTGTTTATGTGTATATGTATATAAATAATGATCTGTAGTTATCTTTATATATAAAAATTACGTGTCACGTTCTTTGTCCGCGATGAACTCCTAAACTACTGAACTGATTTCAATGAAATTTTGCACACTCTGTGCAGTTTGGTTCAACTTGAGAGATAGGATAGTTTTTATCCTGATAAGTAACGCTCAATATTTTTATTATTACGAATTTAAGGTTTTTCATAGTACAGAGGTTCGCCGCTAAGGGCAGTACAACGTCTGCCTGGTCAGCTAGTATTATATATAATATGAAGCTGATTATGCGTAATCCGGGTTTCCAACCCGGGACCAAATGATCGGTCGAATATGGAAATTATTCAATCGGATGATAATCAATGGGTTTTCGATTTCCAGTTCTTCATTAACGATGTTTTGTGTATATTATTTTTATATATTTATTTCATTTTACAGCCCTTCTCATCTCCTGCGTGTTTTTGGCTCTTACGTTGCTTGTATATGCACTGTTGCCCGAATTGAGAAATCTCTGCGGTATGGTTCTAATGGCCTATGTCGCCAGTCAGTTCGGTGCCTTCCTTGTATTGGCTGTCATCCAAATCGGTCTCCATCCTGTCAGCGTTTGCCTGGGATTAAGTAATATTTTTCCATTCAATTCAATATTCCATAATATTTTTAACAGTAAGTTTCAGTAATGCCTAAATAAAATTTTTCTTACAGCTTTCTGCGCTTATTTTTTCTTCTTATCAAGCTTCTGCTGGATGAACGTGATGTCAATTGATATTTGGTGGACTTTTAGGTGAGCTAGGAAACCCTATTAAGGGTCCATTTTCTCTTAGTCCTGTAATGTTACTTATTACTGATGATACATAAATTCAAAGCTCAAATAAACAGAAAAATATTATAAATTAGATGACTATCTGTCTCATACCATTATTTATTATTATCTAGGTAAAAGTGTGTAAAAGTGTATTTTTATATTTATAAGGAACACATTGCCCACTTTGATTTCGTATCTTGAATCGCATTGTTGGCTTAAAAAATACCTATAAATAACTTTCTAAAATAGTTAAACTAATTGCGGACACTACCAGTTACTTATGCTGGATAACGCAAGGCCTCCAGCGAAATATCCTGTAAAAAACCAGTAATGGACGGTTTAGTCTCTTGATCACATTTATTTCATATATAATTTACGAGTAAATAAAAGGCTTCTACTTTTATTTGAAATTATCCCATATTGAATGTGATTTATGGGCAACAACGTTTTTGCCTACCGATCGACCCTTAAGAATGTGTGCGTGCGCAGTAAAATCTGTTAAAATAATGGATTTCCACGCATTTAGAATGTATAAGATAAAAAAAAAACAGAATGTGTGAGATTTTTTTAATAATTTTTCTCCACTATTTGCCTATATTACTTATTCTGAGCCTTCTCTGCAAATTTGGCTTGTTATTGCAAAATAACCCTGTATCACTTATTTATGATGCTAAAACTACCTTCTTATAATAATAAAAAAAGTTTGTAATAAAAATTAATAAAAAAATTAATTAATAAAAATTCGATGGATGCAGGTGGCTCAGGACCGTGCTTTGTGGCATTCCTTTGGGGAGGCCTATGTTCAGCAGTGGACTTATGAAAGGCTGCAATGATGATGATGATGATGATGAATAAAAATTAATAATTGCCAATATTTGCAGTGCCCTTGCAGGGTTCTTGTTTTGAACAATATTTTAAAATTAAGACCAAATGTAGGTACAACAAGAATAGCATATAAATTGAATTGAATAAACTTTTGAGTTATTCCGATAGCCTATCATCAGTTTGATAGCCGACAAGCCTATTTTCCTATTTTAGACTACGGACCGAATATCTAAAAGTCGTAGATACAGCTCATTTGACTTTTAAACTGAGATTTTTTGAAATATTTTTATGATTTTATCATGATATAAAATAAATAAATATTTTTTGGAGTAGAAGGCATGTAATTTTAACTTCTTTGTAATTAAAAAATAAATTTCTCTGTTTGTTTGGGTATAAAGCATCCAATGGGTTGAAAATTAAATATAATTAAGTTAAACAGTAACGCGATAAAGGTAATTATATAATATGTTTCATGTGTTAAGAATGGCGTGAGAAATACTTATATTCGAATTGCTAGTATTATTTTCTTAAGGAAAACTGTAATATTTCTTTTTTTCAACAGAGGCTATGCCAAGGCACGTCCGATTCACCGGCGAGGCGAAACATTCAAATTCCTTATGTATTGTTCATATGCTTGGGGGTTGCCTCTTGCTATGTCTATTGCACTGGCTATTCTAAACGAAATTGATGTCTCACACTTGCCATGGTTGATAACACCGAAGATACCGAGGCAAGGATGTTTTCTAGAAGGTATAAATTTAATAATTCTTTAATTTTTGGGCGACTTTTATGTGTTAATGATTCCCACTTAAATTTAGTAATAGATTGAAGAGAAGAACTTGAAAGAACCAGAACTAACTTACGCAAACACGTAATAACCGTTTTTCGACTACGGCGATAGCTTCGCAATAGCTAGTTGTCTACTGCACCAAAGATATTATAGTGCCGAGTGTACTCGCAAAAGCAGACGTGTCACTCGTTGTAGCATGTGCCCTATGTAAGTTTAACTGTTACAATAATGTTAGGGGTATGATTAAATGCAGTGTCATATACACGGGCACTATCACGTCATCGTGACTTGCAGAACCGTGAAAAATCATTAAATTTATTAGAAAATAAATGGATCCGAAAAGGACTAAAAAAGGTCTGTAATGTTGATGACGATGATGAAATGAAACCCATTTTTGCACAAAAATAAACTACTGATTAAACAAAAATCTACTTGTATATTCATATTTATATATCTATATTATATTATGTTATTAGTATCATAAAGTGGAAGAGCTTTATGTTTTTTTTTTGTTTAAATACGCAAATGAAATGAATGAAAATACTTTTTGTATATGATAGCAAAATTCATGAGAAATAGTGTAGGCTATCTAGCATTAGGCTACATTTCTCATATATAATTAAATATGGGTTTTCTTAGGCAAGTCGGAATAAAAAGCTCTCCCGAACTGTTTTATCCGTGTGCGCTGGCGTAATGGTCAGTGATATGTAAATACAATGTTCTACAAAAATATTGATCTTTACTCCATCAAAAAAAGTCTGTGTATATCTTATTTGGACTTATGTTAGGAAATAGGCATATGGTAATTATTATTTATTTCTTAACATAACACTAAATAAGGTATTGTGTGACAAAATATTATTGAAAATTAAAGTGATTTATTAGGCATGGCAAATTAATCCTTACTAATAAAAATTAATTCATAGTCAAGACAATTTTATGAAGATAAATTTTGCTGTTTGTAGCATGTTATTTGGGCGCATAGTTTAGAGTGCTAGCGACGCGTAACTCTAGCATCCCGATGAGAACCGAGAGAAACCAACAGTGAACGCCTTTATAGACATACACGTGGTATATATCACGCGGCTCAGACGCGTGATAAACGCGAGTGAAACCGCAGGGCACAGCTAGTATTATATATTACTAAGAGTCAAACAAAATAAATTATATTGCAGGTGGAGAAAAGCTGTTATACCTTTATGTACCAATGCTGATTCTAATTATGTGCAACTGGATTTTCTTCCTAATGACTGCATTTAACATATGGCGCCTAAGTCGAGGCACGGCCGTGCTATATTCGGCTGCTGGTAGCATGCCAGCCGCCCATCGTCTTCAAAGACACAGGTATGACAGGGGTTGACCTTAATGTTCTTACCTTCACAGATTACAAAATAACTTTACTGTACAGTTGCTGCAAAAAATGCTTTTGTTACACATTCAGATAAATATTTATAGTTATTATTACTCTATCAAACCCATTATGATCATCATCATCGTCATCATCAACACGTACAAAATTATTTCTCTAATAGACCGCCTCGCATTTTATATCCCAACTCCATCGCTCAATACGGTAAGTTTTAGGTCTACGAATAACTAAATCTACTTTTCTAGTATTTATTTAGATTTCAACATTTTCACGCTAGAGTAAGATTATCTTATATTGAAACCATAACTCAATTTACTGAGGACGTAGTTACATTTTTGACGTGCTCGAATTTAGATATTCGAATTGCAAGTTGACTTACGCATGCACACATTGAAATAGTTGTCCCCTATATTTTATATATTATACCTAACTAAACTTGATACTTCCTCAGACCAACAGAGGAAGAAAGAATTAGCGCTGCGTACATTTTAAGTGAAGCTGAAACCCTGCTTAACTTCTTGACACGCACTCTCATATACATCTTTTTTCTTTTTTTTTTTAAAGCTTACTGAAGGATGCACACATCGATGCACTTAAAACCACAGAGAACGCACTTACGTACATGCGTACGTAAGTGCGTGTTCTTGCAATAAGGTGGGGTTTTAGCTTGGATTTTGCATCCCTAGAAATGTACGTTTAGTTTTTCTTTCTTTGTTGGTATTAGGATAATTGAAGTATTATTAATTGTACAAGTATTAAGTAAAGTTATTTGGCGAAACTTTGCAATCGCATTTGATATCTGGCATGATAATAGTATTCATATTATTTGTAAATTTGAGGGTGGGGTGCGGATTCAGTACAAAATAATTTTGTATAGAACACCACGAGCACGAGTGGGCTTGCGGCTGTATTACCGTGCATGTACCGATTGTATGTGAATGTGTGAGTGTGGAATCAATTTCTAATTTCTTATGTCCACAACCTAAAACCTATTTCCCTTGGGGTTCGTCAAATTGAATGTATTTTTTAGTTTCGTAAAATTGTTAGCCATTTCAGATATTTTAAGCTTTGAAATTGACATCCACAAACTCTGTATTAATATTAAAAAAAACTCTTAGAACTATTTAGAACATAATATAATTTACTAAAGCTATGAGTGGTTAACATTTGTGTAAGATAAGCGGTTCATGCATATTAACAGGTTTGAAAAGTACTGTTTTGAGCTAATCAGCGTTTGGAACGTGAATACCTTCTTAATAGAAAGCAATACTTTCTTCAAGTCAGTTTCTCTGACTATGAAATTATTAACGAAATGAATATGACAATATATACAGTATTGAAATCATCATCAAGAAATATAAATGTTTCTACAAGGATAACGCTTTTTTTCACGTAGAGAAACTTTTTCTGTATGTACATCGTCGAAAAGGTCGTATGATCCAGATGTGATAATAAATTAATATTAGAGATCCCATTTCAAGCCTACTTTTAATTGATTAATATATAATATATATAAATTGAAAATAACAAAAATAAAACTATTTAAAATAAAACACTTCATGTACTGTTTAACATTTTACAGATTTTTGGTGTACCTGAAGTTATCAGTAATCATGGGCATTAACTGGGTACTGGAAGTTGTCAGTTCATTGAAGCCTCAACTACAAATTTGGTATTTCACAGATGCATACAATCTTTTAATTGGTCTAGCAATTTTTATTATATTTGTCTGCAAGAGGAAAATCAATCTCCAGCTTCAAAGAAAGTAAGTTATATTTATTAGTGGTTATAAAACTGATTACAAATAATTTGTAACTTTCGAGGAAATATCTTTTTTGGTGGAACAAATAGTGAAAAACGATGACAGAGTCTATCTTATTCCTTAATTTAATGTTGAGGCCCATCTACACTTAGATGATTAAAAATTAAAATAAACAAGATGTAATAACAAAGAACTCTGATTTCCCTCACTCAACATAAGACACATCAACAATACGCTGCTATATCACGCTGGTATACTATACTAACGTGGTCCTTTCTCTGTCAATCCGATCCATTAGTTTTATAGACATAATACAGCTGCAACGTGATTCCTTAGTTGAGGTTACTGATGAATGATAAAAAATAGATAAATAAATATTCTTTGACGAATTGTACGCTTCCAATTAACAAACGAGGTGACATTAAATATAATGTCTTCTTGATGGAAATACATTTCTAAAATAAAGTAAATGGTATGTAACAGTAAAAGAAACACTATGGAGATAACTGCATCTCTGATAAATAAATATCTGATAAGAATATTCAGGAGAGCATGTGAAGTTCGTCAACACGCACTGGAGCAGCACAATAGGCTAACTACTCCATAAATCCTTCAGGATTTGCAGGGGCCTGTATCCAGCAGTGAGACGTACTCGTATTTAGGCTATTACTTTACTGTTTACCTTTACTAGTAAATATGGCTGGTGGTCTAATCAAGTCTGCATTTTTCTGTAATCCATGTCCATTTTAATGTAATTTTCTTTTGCTTAGGAGCTCTTCCAATATCGCCTCACCTTAAGATGTGTGCTCATTCTAAATACTCTTGATAAATTCTGCTCATGATTGATGGACACAACCGCTCAGTAATTTGGTAATTTTGTTATTTGTAAACCATTTATGATACTGCTTGAGTAACTTTTTTTAAAGAATAAAAGTGGCAAAGTAACTCACAGTTCATTTAATAGTAAGTGGATTCTTTGGGCTATAGACACTATACATCTATCCTCTATTAAGAATTTAAATGTAGATGTGCTGTCACCCCAGAGGACTAAAGTGGAATGCCTCGTTTCCAGTAAAAAAGGGTCTCCGGTTCTCTAAACTCATCACACGAAACACAGCAGTATTAAGCTGCTATTTGACGCTGGTATTCTGTATGAATGTAGTCCATCCCCGACAACTATAATATAATTAAGTAATAATGATGTCAATCCGCCTCTCAATCGTATTAAGTGAATCCTCTAAAATGGGAGGGGTCATGTTCAGCACTGGATTTTTATGGGCTGATGAAGAAGAATTAGAAAATGATGTGAATTTGTTTGATAATGATAAAATTATTTGTACTTATATCTTAACAGGTTCAGGAACTGCAGTATGTCGAAAGGATTTGCCTCTAGTACACGAAGTCAGAACGCTAGTAGTACAATGGAGTCCAATTTAAGCCGCGACGCCACGAAAATCAGCCTTAATCCACAAGACGAATACAAATGAAAAAGCAAACCATCGTAACGAAGCTAAAATCACTACAGATGCTAATAAAATGTGACGATTTAAATTTAGACTTATACTATTTTATAGATATGAAGAAAATATTGGAAATTTCACCAAAGTAGAAAGATTTATTATAGGAATGGAAACAATCGGTGATGTTACTGTAGCAGAAAGAAGCTATTCAGAACAATTTAATATGAACTATTAAATCATTTTCAATTTGTTTCTGATACTAAACGAATAAATAAATTACAAAACACATATTAATTTATCTAAATCAGAATTAGATTCACTTGAAATATTACTATTACAATCGCTATCACTTACTTGAATGTGATAGTAATTAGATTACAATATTAGTGATAGTGATACATTATTAGTGGTCAGTTGCTGTCTCCATTTCACAATTAAAGTCATTAACTAAGCTTGACCTTTGATAGATTTAGAAAATCTTATGTTTAATCATTTCTACAAACTTTCACAAGGTATAGAAGCAGAAGCTATATTAAAAAGAAAATTTCTCATATACTAGAGTTAACCTTGAGTTATATTTCTTTTCTTTACACGAATTACACGTTGACTAAAACCAATTTTGCGGATTTTAAAAACAACAAGAAATATTTGGACTATCATGGATCATATATTAGTAATTCATTTTATAGCGTTTAATTGAATTATTGTAATTTAAGAAAAGTCTAGTGGCGGTGTAGACTGTGTAGTAGCGGTGTAGACTGTGTAGTGGCGGTGTAGACTGTGTAGTAGCGGTGTAGACTGTGTAGTAGCGGTGTAGACTGTGTAGTAGCGGTGTAGACTCTGTAGTTTCGGTGTAGACTGTGTAGTGGCGATGTAGACTATGTAGTGGCGGTGTCATTATCCGTAACTACAATTGCGAACTCGCCTGGCAAGCGTAGCAATTATGACAAATGTCTCCCCTATGACACGTTTTTATGAGAGGCCTAAGTTCAAATGTTTAAAAGTTAGTAAGGTAGAAAGTAAGAAGTAGTAGTAAGGTGCACTGTAGGGCGAACCATAACTAAAAAGAGTGACAACCTGATAAAACACACAGTGAGTCGAGGGCCTATGTTCAACAATGGACTAAATGATGATAATGATGAAGTAATTTAACATTAACTAATTTGTAGATTTCATTCAATAATCGTATTTGTACCAAAGAAAATAAGTGTGCCTATGTGTAATGTCTGCTATCTTCTCTAACCACTGTAGTGTAACACAGGCTCGGCACGCACTTTAACTAACAACACGTCCACTCTGGCCTGAGGCTCTCGTGTAACTGACGCGGTGCGCTCGAGACAGTGACTTATATATAAATGTATGTTTGTGTATTTGTGCATGGTAAATTATTAGTAAATAGAACAAATAACAATATTTACTGTATACTACATATAAGCAAACACTACATCTCTTTCTTATCAAGATTTTTTTCTTTTTTTCATTATAACTCATAACAATCACAAAGCAGCTTGTATTGTCTGTATTAATTATTTTCCACTGCTTTTACGTAAACCTTATCTCCCTGTATTATATCTGAGCGAGTTGCTCTGCGTTTCCTATATACATACTCTTTTCCTTTTTCTTTTTTGTATTTTGTCTCTATCCCTGATATCTGAATCTAAATGATTGTCTGTAATTTATTTCACCTATTGATGGAATTTTATCCCTACTTTTTCGGTGAAAAAACAGTTCAGACGCTAACTTCCCGGTAACTGTAAGGAGGGGTGCTGTTATACATTAGAAGATACTACCATAAACATTTCTTTTAAATCCTTCCTCTCGATCTGGTTGATACGAAGACGTTTCAAAATATCTCTGTTTTGTCTTTCAACTTCGCCGATCATTTGAGGCCAATATAGTACAGTACTAAATAACTTAATGTTACATTCTTTGCAGAAGGATCGAAACTCTTCACTCACGAACTGCTTGCCATTGTCTGCGGTGATAGAAATAGGATAACCAAGTCTACTGAACATTTCTTTTACCATTTTAATAATCTGTAAGCTTGTGATGTTTTTGTAATTGTTTACTTCTTTGTATCGACTATAGTAGTCAACCACTACTAACAGACACTCGTTACTTGGCAATGGTTCCATTAGATCCATTGTGACATCTATCCATGGAGCTGCAGGCAACTCTCGTCTCTTCATTGGTGCAATTGGGTTTGGCAAACCCACTAACGTACAACCTTTACAAGCCTTTACTAATTGTTCTACGTCTTTATCGATACGGGGCCACCATACCTTTGATCTCCAGCGTCCCTTCATCGCTACGATACCTGGATGACCCTCGTATGCAGCATCTAATACACTCTTGCAGAGTTGCTGTGGTATTACAATTTTATTTCTATGAAGTAGAATGCTATCATGGGAACACAACTCGTTTTCAAAAAATTTGTAACTCTTAATCGAATCGTCCCAGTCATTCTGATAGACACCTTTTTTCACTTTGTAAATCTCTTGTTCTTTTTCTGAATATGCTACAATGCAACTGGTCTAGAATTTTCCACCATTTGGTACACATGCTCGTCTTTTCCTTTTGGTGGGTTATCAGGATAGTTACATAATCGTGACAAGGGATCAGCTATATTTGTTTTTCCTGGCTTGTATATAACCTTGAATGAATAAGACTGTAGCCTCAGTATCCATCGTTCAATCCTCGCACATGGTTTTGACTTAGACCCGAACAATATCTCTAGCGGCTTGTAGTCAGTGACTAAATCAAAAGGCTTTCCAAATAAAAATATTAAAATGTTCGACACCCCAAACTAATGCTAGTGCCTTTTTTTCCGTTTGGCTATACCTGCGCTCGCAGTCTGTCAAAGCTCGATTACCATAGGCAATAATTCTAGGGCCATTCGTATCATTTTGTACAAGGACAGCACCAAGTCCGACAGGGCTAGCATCTGCTATCACCTGTCTTGCATCTCTGACGTCATAATACCCTAAAATCTGTATTTCCGTGAGCATCCGTTTGAGTTTTTGGAATGCTTTATCTTGTTCTCCAGACCATTGTTTTTCCAAGCTCTCCCTTTTGCTCATCTTCTGTCTTAACAGGTGCTTCAGAAGTTCTGTCATGGCGGCCAAGTTAGGTATCCTTTTGTTTATGTAGTATGGTCTTTGGGACCCTAAAGTTCATAATGCTCTCAACGTACTTGTTGAAGGGTTTACTCCTTCATGTGTAAGCCTGTGTCCCAGAAAATTCACATCCTGAGTTTTATATATGCATTTATTGCTATTCAGCACGGCGTTGTTTTTACTAAGTACCTGTAGAACTTTCTTTAGTCATGCGTCATGTTCTTCTTCACTGTTCCCGAATACCAGGATATCATCAATAAAATTGACGACCCCTTCACAGTTTATCAGCATCCTTTCAATGATCTTCTGAAAAATCTCGGAAGCGCAGGTAATTCCAAGCATTATTCTTTTATATCTATATAATCTTTTGGGGGTTATAAAAGTTGTTATGTGTCTGGATTCAGAGTGAATTTCCACTTGATGGAAGGCATTTTTTTATGTCTTAATTTGTTAAAATATTTAGCTTTCTTCATTTTAGGCAAAAATGGTCCATAGTAGGCAGGGGGTGGTTTTCTTGCAATATAACCGCGTTCGGACATCTCATATCTACGCACAAACGTAAATCACAATTTTCTTTCATGATTGGAACATTGGTGAAACCCATTTAGACGGGCCTTGCACTTCTTCAATTATATCACTCTTTAGTGATTCCTTAATTTTGATTGCAACCTTCTCTTTAAAGGGGATCGGCTTGCTTTTACTCTCCACTTGATTTATCCCGATACCAAGTTTTAAGACACCAAGTCGGACTGCTGTGTTCTTACCAAACAGGTTTCTAGTACCCCCCGAAATCACGTCAATGGTTGTATGTTCCTTTCGTCCATCGACTTCGAGTATAGTTTCAAATGAACCCTCTATTGCCAAAGGAGAGTTACTACCATATGCTAATAATGTCTTGTCTGGTCTTTACATTTGATTAAAAGCATATACTTTTTTGCTTTTTAACTCTTCCCACGTTTAGTAAGATATAAGGTCCTTGCGCAATTTCGAATTACACTTTTCCACTATTTGATCTATGAAATGATCATCTTGCTTTTCGAATGCACACTTTTCGGCTTGTTGACGCAATCTTAAAACTTCTCAAATGTCTCTCCTTTTTTCTGTTTTAGCAATCGAAAAACATGCCGCTCATAAACTTTGCTCCGTTTAGGTTGAAAATACTCGTAGAGTTTTTTTTATGGCTACTTAAAATACATCAACGGTTTCTTTTATCCCAGAGCCACCAAAATGCAATAGCGTAGCTCGTTTCTCGAGTGCTGATATAACTTCAGCTACGTCCAGATAGATTAGTAGAGACCTTTTCCATTTTCCACACCTTATAGCCATAGATGTGCTATCACATTAAAGCTGATAACGGTATCATTATTATTATTATTTTGGCAAACTGAAACAGTTACTTATATTTTTTTTTTCCAATTTAATGCTGGTATTTTAATACCCAAAGTCCAATTTAATGGTAGTTACTTAGTACACAAAGTCCAATTTAATGGTAGTAACTTAGAACCCAAAGTCCAATTTAATGGTGGTACCTACCTTAGTACCCAAGCTCCAATTTAATGGTGGTACCTACCTTAGTACCCAAGCCCCAATTTAATGGTGGTGTCTTAGTACCGAACTCAATTTAATGATGGTATCTTAGTACCCAACTCAATTTAATGATGGTATCTTAGTACCCAACTCAATTTAATGATGGTATCTTAGTACCCAACTCAATTTAATGATGGTATCTTAGTACCCAACTCAATTTAATGATGGTATCTTAGTACCTAACTCAATTTAATGATGGTATCTTAGTACCCAACTCAATTTAATGATGGTATCTAAGTACCCAACTCAATTTAATGATAGTATCTTAGTACCCAACTCAATTTAATGATTGGTATCTTGGTACCCAAACTCAGTTTCATGATA